AACTCCGCCTATCCTAAAGTTGCCAAGGTTGACCAACACTGCTCTAAACCTTGCCTAGTTATTGGACCCTGAGGTAGGTCTGTCTGGGGCTTGTGTTTTGAAACCTACCCTTCCTTTCTAACTCTTTTCTTCCAGGCCGAATGGGAATGCCGCTTGCTTCGATGCCCTGCTTGAAAACGATGCGCTCGGACCGTTCTTTCAAGCCCAGAAGGAAATGGGTCGGGGTGAAGGTAAGATCCCCTTAAGACAGTTGGCATTTTGTGCAAGATGATCTCCTATATCTGCCTCTCCTCCCACTCAGGGCCCTCTGGGTGAGTCGTGAGTAGGTATGAGGCCTGTTTTCAACAAGGGGCGTGTGGTGGGTAAAGTAGCAGTCCTGTAAGAGAGAGGAGGAAAATCTGTTCCTGCTACGTTTTTATTTTAAAGATCATTATTATTATCATTAGGTTTTTATCCTGCCATTTAAAAAAAATATTTGGACACCTCAAGGCAGGGAATATAGCTAATACTGTACTCCTGCCTCCTATTTTCCCCACAACGACAGCCCTGTGAGGTGGAGTGGGCTGAGAGAGCGACTGGCCCAAAGTCACCCAGCCTGCTTTCATGCCTAAGGGAAGCCTAGAAGTCCCACTCTCCTGGTTTCAAACTGGCTCTCCATTTCTATTAATATTTATATCCTGCTTTTCTGTGGTTGCACACACTTATGGTGTTTCACCCACTATAAAAGATATCATACATTTCGTTAAAATACAGCCTTAAAGCTACAATAATAGCAAATTGCGGTTATAAAACACTTCAGCAAGTAGCAGGATTAACATACATCATCTGGAAACTGTTCAGAGCTTGTAAAAATTCAGCGGGATGAATCTCTTTTGGGAACTACGTCCCTTTTCTCTACCACAAATATATACTTTTACAACCCTAATTACTTACACACCCTGTGTTTTTGTGTTTGAAACCAAATTAATCAGTGCTAATTTTTCTCAGGAGCAAAGAGTTTTCATCTGTGTACATCTTTATTTACGAGGATGAAAAAAATAAGAATAAAGCGAGATATCATGGTTTCCCAGTTACTGCAAGAATGCAGTAAAATACATGTAAATCTGAAAATAAATGTGTTTAGAAATGCAGTAAATCTGAAATAAATGTATTTAGAAAAAAAGAGTTTTGTACCACATTCAGAGGACAGGGCTGTAATAGTTTTAATAGCATGAGGCTGAAGAATACAATGCTGTTTTTGTGTGTTTAGACACACAGTGGGATTTGTTTTCTAGAAAGGGTGGCTTTGACTTTCAGTGTTTATTATGCGTTATGTATCTTTTGCATTTTCAGTGTTTTATCCAAAAATTTTAAACATTAACATTGTAATTAATCTGCAATTGAAATCTTTTCTGAAACAATCCAGTTAGAATGTGGCATGGTTTGGTCATCAGTTCAGCCTGTTTGCGCCGAGTGAATGGATATTATATGATCAGGGATTAGATCCTTAAAAGAAACTGCCAATTGTCCTTTGCAGACTCCTTGAAAATACAGGTTTAGTGCCTGTAAGGTTTGTATTTAAATGTTTCGTTCCTGCACTGCTCTTTCTCCCAGAGCAGCCTAGGGGTGTATATGCCTTTTTTGCTACGGCAGTTAGCTAGTGATTTGAAGGTATTTTCCTATGCCAGCTTTATTTGTTTTGCTTTATAAGATCATGAGAGGTCTTCTGGAGTTGTCCAGGGATGGTGAAGCAACCAGCCCTAGCCCAGCCACCTTGTTCCAGCACACTTCTTTTGCCTGGTGAGGTTCCTGAGAAGCAGGAAGGCAGAAAAGAGAGGGTGCGGGGCTCCAGATCTGAGCTGCAGACATCTAGATCACCACTGGATGGCAGCAAGGAGTGAACGGGTGTGTGTGCTTTTTTTAATCTCCCTGCTGCCACCTACAGGCTGGATGGAGCTTTGCAGCCCAGCTGGAGTATCTCTAGTGTGCACCTGTTGAATTTCTGCCTGTTTGCGTCATGGCACCTAGGGGCGAGGAAGGCTGAGTCCAACAGCTGACTTGCCTCCGCAAGGCCCGCGCGTGCGCAGCGGGGCAGGCGCATGGACGGGCTCCCTGCGGCGGCTAGTGCGCATTCGCTGGCTCGAAAGCTGGGTTGGTACGGGAAGGCCCGGCCGGAGTTGTGTCCGCGCATGGCCTCTGTTGCGCCCGAACGTGGGTTCTTGCGTGAAGGCGTGCGGGGAGGGCGCCGGCTGCGTCTCGGCATGCGCAGACGGGCCACCAGCCGCCCCCCCCATCGGGCGCCC